GTTTCCTACAAATTAACTCTTGTATAAAGATAAACACAACGCGTGCGTCACCTGCGGTTTGTGACTGTGTGGTGAAGATGAGTAACGCCATATTATTTGTTCCGTAAACTATTGTTATGCAAGCACGAAACCAAACAAGCTCTCAAGTCAGGCCATAAGATAAATGTCCATACCAACTGTGGAATCCCCGAAATACCTACTTTATCAATATTAATTTAAAATTATAGCTAAAGACACTTGATTAAATATTTACATAAATACTTTTTTCGAGTTCTATAAGGTTAATGCTCTGATTTTTTTTTGAAGAATATTAACAATGCTATAAACATTACCAATATTCCCCTTTAACCACTCGTGGTAGGCTTAAATTGCTTGTGTTACGAGTGGTTCACGCCAGTAGTCGAATGGCGGATTCGAACCCACGACCTTATTGATTTCGCGGTCCGCGCCCTGTTACATACTATTTCGTTGATTTATTTATTCCATTAATTTAATACCAATAGATTTCCTCATAAGAAAGAAATCAACGATAGTTGATACGTCTGAGACGAATTAGCATCCGCAGTTTTTTTTTAAATGTTATCAGGAAGATGCGGCTGCCATCTCCTGCTTCTCTTTCCCTCTTTCAGCTCTTAGGACACACATTGGGTGATTCTCTTACGGTGCCACTGCACAGCATGAAGAAAATGTTATTCATTAGTTCAAAAATGTTTATATTCTCTCTAATGCGTATATACCTGTGCTTACTATATACCATTAAACTTTAAAAAAATAACAAAGGGCAGATTTAATTCTAATCAGCATTTTCTGACAGACAACCCATGAATGTAGTGAAATGAAGTAGTTGGCTCCTTATTGAAAATTATTAATGTTCATTGATTTGGCACTAAATCAAATTGAATATGTTACATACATAGCAGGAGCACTAAGCGGCCTTGACCATTGTGCTAACCTCATGAAACGTCATTACTGGATCGGTATTGATTCTATCATTTAAAGATGTCTAGTTTTATCCAAAATTTTTATATTTTATTGTTTACTATAAAATTACATCAATGAATGACAAATATATAACACCTGTGCAAATGAATCAAATCAAAGCAATACTTTTCTACACTTTATAACTTATTTGGCTCATAGACAAAACTTATAGAATAGAATAGAATCATTTATATTCACTATTGACATGTAATTATTATTAGGTCATTTTTTAATTTTACCACTGGTTCGGAAATAAACCTCTCCTGGAAAGAATAAGCAAGAAACCCAGAGGAGTTATTTTTTTTAAGCATAAGTTACAATATAATATTTATACAATTGTTATGAAAACATTTAGAAACAGCATGGTAGCGATCACCTCATTCCCAGGGTGATATCAATCATGTACTAAAACAGTACTAAAAAAGTACATAGTACATAGTACTAAAAAAATAGTATAATAACCCTTACTAAAGAATTTTAGCTTAATAAATATTTTAAACCTTTTGACAGATGAAGCTTCTACATTTTCTGGGACTTTTATGTTTCGTGACTGTTAACTTCTGTTGACCATTAACAACTGTTGACTTGGATTATTTCGTGACTGCTTGTAAGCTCTTGATAAGGGCACTGGCAGAATATCAGCGCTTTCGTTATTCCACTCTATTTCAGAATGCTAAGTTGGATGCCTCTTTGCTGATGCAATAATGATAAAAAATATACCTATTAAGCATATAGTACCTGTACAACTATTAGTTAGACAAATAAATTATAATTATTTTAGGGATAAAGCCAATCTCAATAAATGTGAAAAGTAAAACAAAAACATTATTTAATTACAAAATTTCATCCAGATTGATACAGCCATTTCTGAAAAATCAATTATATAAATATATACATACAAGAATTACTCCCTTAAAGTATAGGATTTTGAAACTCCAATTTTTTTAAATAGCTATCTATATTCAATTAGGTACACAATGTTTATTTTACAATGTATAGTAGGTAATAAATGTAACACTATATTATAATGCTAAAAAACTACACAGCCCATTCCATACATACAGTAGAACAACAGCCTAAGAAGAACATACAGTCAGTCATCGCATTTGATGTTGTCGGAAAAGCCGATATGAACAATAAATTGCCAGGGTTGTCAGAACGGGAAGTGATAAAAAAAATTAAAAACATAACTTAGACAACTAGTGTTCAGAAATAATAAAAATATGTCAGAGGACCCATAGTTTGTTACCATACATGTGAGGTTAACCATTTTATTTACATGACAGGACAACTTTAGTGGATAGTTAGCCGCTCGTCGCTCAGGTACACTCCACTAGAATGACCGACTGTTAGTAGTAGTTAGACCGTGAAAGAACTATAATCTCAATATTGCCGAAACTAAAACCTTCAAATTTATGAGAAATAGTAGTGTCATAGAGCAATGGATATGTTACTGTGATAATGAATTTTCCTGACAAGCTACAGAATACAACAAATAAAAAAAATATTATTCTATATTAACACAAGCCTTCTATTATGATTATAATAAGTCACAGACTTGTAATAACTGTAAAAGCCATCATACACATACCTGTAATATAACATTAAAAACATAACATGGACACTTACACCTGTCTCCCAGAGGGGTACGCAGGGACTACAGATTTCCATTTGGCACAATCCTGACACACCTCTCTAGCCTCCTGTACAACTATATACCTATGCATACATGCTCATTGGTTAAGTAAATATAGCATGACATATAACATTACGTTTTCTGTAATTACTTTAACCCCTCGTCTGCCGGCCGGCCATTTTGCAAATACGTCGCGTCTGCTAGGGCCTTAGCAGGTAATTTTGCGATATCGGCGCGTGGCGATTAAATTAGTAATTTCTCTAAAATATTGTATGGAAGCTATTTATAAAACTTATGTCATATGAATTGTTATATTATTTGCTATTACTCTGTAGATATCTTAGTTGAATACAACTTAATAGATTTTATTAAGCCAATTTCAAAGTTGGAAAACCAAATTTTTAATAGTATTTTGTGCATAATTTGTGAAAATTAAACATAAAAATCATTCTTTTATAAAATAAATGTAATTTATTTTCATCAATATACACTAATTTATAATAAAAAAGCAAAAAAACCACACATTCCTATATATTTTTACCTCAAAAGTTTTTTACAATCTTAACACATGAACGGCAACCCAAGCGTCGCACAAAAAATAGCATACATTGTTAGTTTTATTTTGAGAAATGAGCAAGTCAAGTGGCGTACGATAATTTTAACATTAAGTATGGCTCAAGTCCTTAATTTAGACAAAGTTTCATTTCTAAAAAGAATGTAATGTATTTTTAATCAACAATAGAGATAAATGTAAGGTAAGTAAGTATAACGACCGTTTATGTTCAAATTTTTTTTATAAAAAGGATACATATCCCTAAATTATGAATTAAAAACTGTTGGTTATTAACCCTTCTATGTTTGAATAGCACTTAACTTTACTATTTGTTCGATTTAGGAATAAAAAATAAGGACAAAAACCAGGACGGGTGACCACATGAAAGTGACGTTCGCATGCGACTGCTACATAGGCTGTTTATTCGAAATTTCTACACATTGTAGTACTTTAGTAGCTTTGTATCGCATCCTCTTTCTTTGGTTTATAATTTTCTATAAGTAAAAGTGTGATAAAAATTATTGTCGCTGGTTATTTTACCCGCCAAATACGAAGTTGCGGATCGGCCAGAATCTGATCGCTTGCCAGACGCGCGTAATTAACCATCGGCCAGAATCTGGCCGGTCGCCACACAAGGGGTTAAATGACCGCACACACAGCACGATATATATTTTTATAATACAACATTTTACAATTATTATACATTTATGATATTTTTTACAGAATAACAGTTACAAAAGAACACACAATCTATCTGATGCTAACTATAAGCTGTGATCTAATGAAATCTACATTTATCTTTGATAAAGAATAAAAACTACAGATGCATTGTCAGCCATGAGAATTAAGATGGAACACCTTATTTCTAGTCTTAAGGGTGTTCATATTTCACACACTAACCATGCAAAACACAGCAGCAATAAGCTATTATATTTCACTGGTATTTAGTTGTTTTTCAATCATAATACAACTGCAGATAGCTCTACCACATATGAATATACTTTTACAAAATATTTCTCACATATTTGCTTCACTAACATATTTGAGAGTACATTAAATTTGAAGACATATTATAAAGTTAATAAAAACAAAAATAAAAAGCATTGAACTGTCAATTGACAATAAAATATTTCTTTATAATCTACTGCTATTTAGCCAATCAGGACCATTGCTCTAATTAAAACATCAATATTGCATAAATAAACATTAAGCATTAAAATAATAAATATAAAAACAAAAAGTACAAACAACAAAAATATTTAATCATAGCGGAGACATTAGCGGAGCAATAAATAGTTCCATTAATCTTACTGAAGACCATCCATATTTCATGCAGCTTTTATTAGGTTTTGCATTGTACGTGTAATTTAATAACCTGCCAAAAATATGCTATACTTTCCTAAACTAAGCCTTAATAAATACTAAGGAGGACTAAATGCAGTGTAGTGGTAGTATATGAAAATCCACTACCCCATATCATCCAATAAGTGTTGTGGACAACACTTACAAAGCGACAGAGGGAAAAGGGAAATGTTACAAAATATAGCAAGCAACATCATTCTAATAAACAGCTCAAAATAATAAAAACTGCCAAGCAGCCTGGCAGGCTAGGCTGGCCAGGCATGGTAGTGATGACAAATATTCATGTACATCTATGGAGGGAGGGCAATGATTAGCAGTGAACTTTGATGGCTGAGTTGAAGGAGTGAATAGTAATTCCTATAGTCCATAATGCACTAATAAACATAAAATTTAATTCCTGACGAAAAGTTATTATCCTCAATATTTACACTACTGCGTATACAGAACAAGTTTATATCAACTACTTACTTTTCACTCAGGTACTGGGTGGTCCAATAGATCACTTCTCCCGGTAACTCAGCCTCGGTGATCGTGTATCCAGCGATATTAACAGGTAGTTGATCCTCCGGATTCACAGTAGCCGCAAAATGCTCGAAAAATACTCGGTAACACGTCAAATAATCATCTTTATCACCCATTTTCGAATATTTTAGAAATAAAATAAAAATTCGAAATAACGTGAAATCGATAAACAAACTCTTGTTATGAACTAAACAAACTGCAAAGACAAAGCTTAACAATATATATTTAGTAAATAGTAAACACTGTTTACTTAAAATCTACCGTCACATAGGTATGTTAGAATAAAACACTTCGGTTTATTCTTAGTTTCTAAATTTGATAAAAATCAAAACATTCAATTCACATCTCGCTCACACACGTCACTTCACTTCACACCATTTTCCATTATCCACAAAATTATCATAAACAATATACTAATGGTGGTTAATATAGCACATAGCGTCATATTATAGCGCGCTATCTTTCCATAGCGCATAACGCTTGCTATGTAAGCAGCTGCTGGGCTTTGGCGCTATTAATATCTAGTCGAACGGCAACTAGTACTAGCAGCAGCAAATTTGACCCAGGAGCGCGCTATTTATTGCGCGCGACCTGATTTAGTGTCAGACGTTGTTTATAGTTAGTGTATACTGTATATTTAAAAGTGATCGAAGAGCACGGTTGTTTGCTACAAAAGTACCCTAACTAAGTATTTAATTAATATAATAAAATACAGATGCAAAAGTATATAATAGTGAATATAATTAGTTGATTTTTGTATATACAATCAATAAACTTTTAAATACGCCTTTAATTGATAGGTATATAATTTACTTTAAGGTTAAAATAACGTTTACTTCGATTATAGATAGTGGTAATCCTAAAAAAGGGTTCATTGGTTTTTCCGTACTGTTTTGTTCTGTTTTAGTCAAAAATGCGACTTATTACGAAATAAAGTTCCTATACAGTAAGCGGTCTATCCAACGAACGACATGTAATGTAACGTGCTATGAGATGCTTTACGTGTCTCCGGCCTGCAGCCTCCTCCGGTTATTTGTAAGAAAGCGCATGGGAACACGCTCTCTTATAAATAGCGCACTATAAGATATTATAGCGTATTTAATAGCGCGCTAGATAGTTTATAGTCTGTAGCGTGCTATTGATTTATAACAGTTTTGAACAACTTTACAATAAACATAGGCATCTAAGTGGTGGACTGGCGGATTAGTTTTACTCTCTTAAACAATAAACATAGATAAATTAATATGTAGCAAGCTAACATATAGTCATATACACCTATAGTTCGCTTCCTCAGTGTTGGTACCATCGACATAATAAAATTATTGTGTGCATGGAGTATAGAGGTAAGGAGGACAATCTCCCATAGAAGAATAGTTGAAAATGTGTTCACCTGTAAGCAGTAAATATTTATACATAGTGTGTACTCCTTACCTCTACAATCCATAATTGTGTGTGGTGTTGACATTCGCTTCCTCAGTGTTGGTACCATTTGACATAATATAATTACCAGTGATGTTTTAGATACATTTCTAACAAACTTGATACAGATATCGCTAATACCTGGTATTTCAAATAAAGAATTCGTACACCCATAGAATAGATATTATAGTATGAGTTTACGGATATGGTATAATGTACTACTGCCTATTATAGTACACTACAGACGATTCAGGCTATACAAACATTTAAGCTTTGTATTACACTTGTTAATAAATAACAACACGATATGAAAATAGGTTGGCAAGTGTTTTTTTATTTAATTGGTAGTGAATTTGAATTTTAACCAGATAAATAGATATTTACGAAAAAAATGAATGACACCGACAACAGGACGCGAACTCTGATCGAACATTTCAAATTCACCTCCGTTAGACATGGTCAGCTCGATCTGTCATCGATAACATGGATATGAACTGCATAAATAAATGGCTTACAACTTACTATTAGTATAAACAATAAATAATAACAATAATAACGTAATCACTAGTAATAATAATGCCTGATATTCTGTTCTAAAATAGCAAAATAAATATTATTCATAGTTCATGTCAGAAAGTTGGTATTTTGCGTACCAGGACAGCATTTAGTTAATACATGGTATAAGAACCCATAAATGATACGCATACCAAGAAATTGGTACCTCTAATAGCACTGATTGATACCTACCCTGTGATTTAGATCAGTGCCCTCTTTATCAAAACTTACAAGTCTACTTTGTTGTAAAGTTTTTACTAGTTCGTGTAAATTACGTTTTTCAAAAAAAAAACTACAGGCCTTGTAAAGTTTAATACTTGTAGGTTCTACTTGTAAGTTCTAAAATCAAAAATGTATGCCGCATTCTTTACCTCCATATTTTATCACCATTTAAACGTATGGCTGTATGGTGTATTGTCTGTGCCTAATTTTGATGGAACATTAAAAAATTTAATAATGTACCGTTCGAAAGTCTAATTTGTTTCTTATTTTTCTTTCATGTGATTTGTCTCTCTTTTTCATGATGTCAGTCTAATGTTTTGGTCATCAAGCAAAACTCTTTGAATCCGTTTTTTTTGATTCCGGACCCTGGGAGCAATGAGGTTTTCCATTTTCCTTGTCCATATTTGTGTTATTTGTTTTACTCTTTTAGTTTTCATTCCGTGTTCTCTCATTCTATACTTAGCAAATTTATTTTCAAGTGCTTGTAATCTTTGCCTTAGATACATATGTTCAGATTTCAGAATTCTTGTGTTTCTAGCTGCGACAGCTTTCCCAGAGGATATTATCGATGTTGATGATTGAGGGGTAATCAGAGAAGCTGATGGGCTATTGAGAGGTATTGGAGACGATGGTGGTGTTTGTCGTTTAACATTTTCTGTGTTCGACGTTGACGTTGACACTGCTGAGCACAGGCTTCCCCCAAGGAATGCGACAAAGCGCGGTCCTGAGCCACCTGCATCCATAGATTTTCTGCATGTCTTACCAGGTCGTCACTCCATCTAGTGGGGGCGTCGCCCTACACTACGCCTACCGATACGAGGCTGCCGCTCGAGAATCTTTTTTCCCTATCGGTTGTCGGTTCTTCAAACCATACGGCCGGCCTATTGCCACTTCAGCTTACTAATTCGTGACCATGGGTGCTGTGAAGTGCCCGAAATATCGGATATTAAAAAATTAAATTGACTGATGAATGATGAATTAAATGACAAAATTAATAATATTCGACGTTGTATTTTCTTAAGTGCCATTCGATTCCTTGCATTTTCCCTTCATTTTTGTCTCAATAATCTTTGATCTCTAGCACTCATATCTTTAATAATTTTAATCAACCCTTGTTCTTTTTTTATAATAATATTCCCGGTCTTTTCTACGTTTTTTTACAGGGTTTTGTTTCAGTTTTTCTCGTAACTTTTTCTTAGTAAGCTTTTTCTGCTCCTAATATTTTCCGAGTATTTGCCATTTTTCTATCTGAAAAGCAAGAAAGCTCACACTCAACACAAACAGTATATTAAGCATCTATAAAACACATGCTGTAAAACCGAATCTTTTATTAACTACCAAGTGGGAAGTTATTGTAATGGGTCCGATTTTGCAAATTGGAAATTTTAACATATATCCACGTTTCAAGGTTCAAGTCGAATAGTATGGTTTTTAAGAGAATGTCCGTGTGTGCACATGTATGTATGTATGTTTGGTTCAATTTTCGCCTCGTGTATCTCGAGAACAAAGAGTGATATTGACATGGGACCAGTTTCATTTAACGCATAATTATGTAACTTAGACCTTATAAATTTTTGAGCAAAATCGGTCAAGTCGTTTTTTGTGCCGAATGAAAAATTGTATAAAATATTAAAACATTTGCTTTTTTTATTCTTTCTTTCTTTATACTGGGAAGTTAGTCGTGTTCACCTTTCGGGTCGCACCTAGAGCGCTTTTAAAAAGCTGCTGAACAAAATTCTGAGGTTGCGAAAAAAATTTAAGCCATGTGTAATTAAACAGACCAAATATTTATTTGAGAAAATTAATAAAATATTATCAATTTAAAAGCATTACCGAAAAGATACGTTGAGGTTTGACCAAAATACAATTATTGGTAAATAAGACACCGGTTTAACTCTCACTCCAGTCACAAACATGAAATGGCTACTGGGATGCGTTCGAAAATTATACCCATGATTGAATCAGGGTCCCTACGCTCTGATTCAGGGTGGTATAATAAGAGAAAGGGAGTAAGGGTCCCATATTAGGGCGTCCGAAGTGGGCCCGGTCTGCAGTGCCCTTGCCGCCGTGCAGTGTAATAACAATGAGGGAGTTAGGGCACTTATTCGATGCGCGACTAGGGATGCAAACGATACATCAATTCTTTCAAACATTGATATATTGTTTATAAACATGGTTCTTCATGAGCAATGTTTTATGAACGACGTTTTGGCTCGCTGTCAAAGGTTACGAAATAACCAAATATTCGAAGGTATAACATTCCGCATGTTAAAAGTTGCGAACGATGATTATCAAGCATTTTATGTTCCCGAAAAATAAATAATTGAAACAAAATATGTCAAAATTAGATAATGTCTAAATTTTTAAAAGTTAGAAGGTTTACGAGTATTTAGCAGAAATAACTCAATCCCGAAAAATTTAATTACGAATCAACAAACAGGCGAGTGGTCTTTCAGCCGAAAATAAATATACTTGAACTTCAGAAGTGCAATCTTCAATCGGTAGTTACATTTTCAATGTAAAATTGTAGTTATTTTTATTGTGATAATTAATTAAGATAAGTTTACAAATATTGAAAATGTATTGAAATTGTTTTATTTATTTTCTTATTAATAATTATATTGTTTTAGCTTTAACTTAATGAATATCTTAAGTACAGTGTACAGTCATATAAGGTAATAGTTATTTTGTAATAGAAATTATTATATCGGCTTACGGTACTTCGTATTTCCTTACAATTATTTTTCAAATATTGATTTGATATTAAGAAATATTGATTTTTATGGATGAACGGTTATTCACCTGTTTGTATTTTGGTATAATTTCGTAAATATATATCTGTATTCATACTGAAGGTAACATATCGAACTACCATAAAAATCAACGACCACATCATAAGAAACAAAATAGTAGACGAGCT